AAATAGTAGTGTGTGTGTGTGTGTGTGTGTATATATATATATATATATATATATATATATATAAATAAATAAAATTCCTTTTGTAGACTGTGCTCTTTGGGTGTTGCATATGTGTGGTTTACCTTTTAGTCTAAAGAAAACAAGTTTTCTACCATGAACACTTATTGTTCTTCGTAGCAGCCAGCCTGCGCCTCTGCAAAATATTTTAATGTCACTTTCTTTGACAAGCAGACAGCCATGCTGAAGTTAAATTACTTTTGCTAATTAAAATTTGGAATAATTGTTTGTGCAATATTTTCTGCTGCATTTTTGTGAGAAGACTTTGCTGTCCATTAGGGAACAGTCTGAGGTGACCATACTTGCTTCATTTCCAATTACTAAGTGAATTTGAATTTGAATGGAAGCTTTGGGGGTGAAACATTAGCATATGCTCCTCAAAGCTAGTCAGTTCTAAGATATTTGATTTATGGGGCCCCACTTAGTGTGCCTTTATGTGTTAAAGCACCCAAACCAGTGAGTCCAGTGGAAGGGTTACTGGCTTTGCTGATCCAGAGGGAAAGGTAGATCATCTCTCTGAAAATCTATATAAATCGAATTGTCTCTAAAGCAGTGGTTCTCAACCTATTTACCATTGTGGGCCGCATATGTGTTATGTGGGCTGCATCCAATACTACCTGTATGGCCCTAAGGATGTCACATGGGCCACAGCTCTGTGCTGAATTGGCTGCAGTCTGAGAATCACTGCAAAAGAGAGAACCATTTTTCAAGGAGACAGCAAGAGCAAGCCTCCTGAGTGGACCACTGCTTCAGGTAAAGGATAGGGAAGAGACACCCACTCTTCAAATAAAATGTTTTTAACCTATAAAAATGGTTCAGGGTTGGTATGAATTTTGGTTGCAGTTTCTATTTGGTTCTTATTTTTATTGAACTGGTTCTGCTGCCCCTAGAATGACCGCATTAGCTTACTAAAGGCACCACCTGACAGGCATCTGCAGGGAGATTTTGCCCATCTGATACCTAAGACCTGATTCTCTTCCTGTTTTAAATCAAGACTAGTGCCATGGAAGTCAGAAGAATTATACTGATGTAAAACTAATGTAAGTGAGAGGAGAATCAGGTCACTAGTGGTTGATTATCTTGGAAGTATAATAGCAGTTTACAATGACCATATCTTAAAAATCGTTACTAATTCCTATGGCACTTTCATTGTAGTAATGTTGCTGCTGGATTCTTTGGTGAGAGAGTGAATTGTGCATCAGGAAGAGTCCCACTTTGATCCAATATTTAATAATTTGCATTTATTGTAATACATTATTAGCATTGTTAATAGCTAGAACATCAGCCTGCTTGGTCTGTAGAGAACTTTCACATTTATAAAAATGCATTTATTTAGAGAAAGCTGGTTTTTTTCCCTTAATTTGTTCCATTTCAAATATGCCTTCTAAAAATCTTTGCATCCTACTGCAAAAGATTCCGAGTGGGAGGGGCTGAGCCTGAAGGTAGCTCCAAGTCTTTACGTAAGCCATGTGCTGTAGCAAGTGGAGTCATCTTAGCCTTAAACTTTTCAGCAACTACTGCCTATGAAAAATGCACTAAGATGACTTCCAGTGAGGGCAAGATTGACAGTTATGGGTACAGCCACCATTCTAGCCAGAGTATATCATCCCTTTAAATCAGGGGTTCTCAAACTGGGGGTCGGGATCCCTCAGGGGGTCGCGAGGTTATTACATGGGGGGTCTAGAGCTGTCACTCTCCATCCCAAACCCTGCTTTGCCTCCAGCATTTATAATGGTGTTAAATATATAAAAAAGTGTTTTTAATGCATAAGGGGGTGTCGCACTCAGAGGCTTGCTATGTGAAAGGGGTCACCAGTACAAAGTCTGAGAACCCCTGCTTTAAGTGATTACTTCTAGAGATGCCATAACTGGAATAGCTATGAGTTGTCACAGATCTAACACTGAGAATGCTCCAAGACAGATTGTGTTGTGATCTCCACAATCACTGCTTGTGTATCTCTCCATGTTTTAGTGGGAAGTTGATGCTGGAATAGTTGGGAATTCCCCATAGTTTTGTTTATATTTATTAAAATGACTTCTTACAAGAGAAACTGGGACTGTGATCATATCATGTAATTGTTTTTCTTTTGTTTGTTTTTGTTTTATTTAAAGGCATCCATTGGGTTGACACCTCGTATATGTGAGGTATTTGTTTTTTTTATGAACTTGAAATTGTTTAAACTGTTCTTAATTTTCTTTTCTTTTTATTTTTTTAAGAGAAAAATGTAAACTTTTGGTTTGTGCAGGGCCTTTTCTCAAGGGAGGATGATTATTCAGAGCAGCCAGCATCTTGCAGAATAGAAGTCAGGTAGGAGTGTCTCATTATTTTTGGCCATATGTTTCTAAATACTTTCAAATGTGTATTTCCATAGTCAAAGCACACAAATGTTATTTGATAAGTTTATTTCTCTTTCTCAGGGCTGTCAATCATTTTGTTGGGGTGGGAAAATCTTGCAGTTCAGTTTTCAATCCAAGTATAGTTCCTTGGATGCTGTTTGTTCACTGTTAGATCCCAAAGAATATGCATCTAAATAATAGTAGGTTAAGAGTTCATGTCTTGCTTGTTTAACTCTTCAAAATTTGGACCCTATACTGCATACAGTTCTTATTCATAAACACCATTAATTTTGTGGAGTTTTGTGCTCTGAACAATTGAAGAGTTGGGAACAACATTAATTAAAAGTGCAGGAAATATGCTGTGTTGGCAATGCAGATTATTTATTGTGTCAGCAGTATTTCCAACCAGCCAGCAGCAGGGGACAGTTATTTTCTTTCCTCGTGACAATTGATTGCTTCTCAGCTCCTTTCTAAGTGTCAGTACGCACAACGTGTAAGAAGATGTCATTTGAGAGGTAATGAAGATGAATACTTTAGTTTTTGATGTGGAATGTCTGTGCCAGGCTGCAGGTGCAAATTTTCATTGTCCAAAGAACAACTTTAAATAAATTTTTTTGTGAATAGCGGATGTCAGAAAGACAACATTTTATTTGCTTTTCTTCAGTTTCCTTGAAATCTATAATGAGCGTGTCCGAGATTTGTTAAAGCAATCAAACCAGAAAAAACCTTATACGCTTCGTGTCCGAGAGCACCCTGAGACAGGTCCATATGTGCAAGGTGAGAGTGAGTTTCTGCATGGGTTACAGATGAATGCCTATGTGCCTATTCTGAATGTTCACTTGCATTCCTAACATGCTCTTTATTATTTCCACTCTTTCCAGTTATTAAACAGCCAGCATGAAATATGTAGTTTGAGGAACTCAAAATCCTCCCAGCAAAAATATATGGCAGAACATGGAATCTAATTCTTAATATTTGAAGAGGGTAAAATTCTAGAGGAAGGACTCATTTTGTATGTGTAGTGAATGTGTTAAATAGAAATATAGAGTATAGGTTTGCTGTACTGTATCAGGCCATTGATCTATCTAGCCTGATAATCTGCCCCCCAACGATGGCTGCAATGAATGTTTCATGAGAATGTAAAACCATACTGCTAATACCAGGAAGAAATCTCTTTCCTACTAAGCATAGCAGAAAACGGGAGTAACCCCTTTCCCCAAACTAACATGGCCTTTTAGTTGATAGCAATTTGCCTGTAAATTCTCAGAAGCTTCAGATTCCTGTCAGAAACTTTTTGTGAAACAATGTACACCGCTACCTCGATATAACGTGACCTGATATAACACGTATTCGGATATAACGCGGTAAAGCAGTGCTCCAGGGGGTGGAGGGGCTGCGCACGCCGGTGGATCAAAGCACGTTCAATATAACGCAGTTTCACCTATAACGCGATAAGATTTTTTGGCTCCTGAGGACAGTGTTATATCGAGGTAGAGGTGTACTTGTTTCCACTGGAATTACTAGGTTACAGACTTCTAATCTGCTGACTTTCACATGTATGTTTGCTGTAGTTATAAAAACATTCTAATGCAGTTTTACATTGTTTCCAAACTTGCATCTTTCTGTAAAATTATTTCTTCCATTCTGTTTTCCTCTTTTCAGTCCTCATCTTTTCTCTTACCTGCTTTTGCCTTTCCAATTTTTCCTCTCCCTTTTTTCTTTCCCTTCCCTTTTGCCTCTGCCCTTTGTCAGAAGTGTAACATCATTTTAAAGTAAACTCTCTCAGCTGTTGGTGCTTAAGTCATTTGATAGTGCATTATACTGAGTTTGCCCTCTCAAAAGCAATACATTTGGTCAGTGATTGACAGAAAGTGGTTTCTACAGAATCAGCGCACTACAGGCATAGAAATCACTGAGTAAGTGATTTAAAAACATATAAAACATATTAATGGTCAGGAATGGAAGAAGAGATCTTTCCAAACTGATGCAAACTTTAAATATGGGTGGGTTTGTCTGGAAAGTAAATACACCCATTTCCTTTTTAATGTGCTGCTAAACACTATGTCTACATAGTGGGCAAAACTCCAAATTGCCTCTGGAATTACTGACCGTACCAACTCTTGGCTATTGGCCAAGTGGATTGTAACATGTTTGACACCTACAAAGTATTCCTTTAATGTGTAAAATGCACATAAGACAGAATCATATTGGTTGTGTCATGTCAGATCAAATACTAGCTTGTTCTGCTTTTAAAACTCTCCATCCCCCTTTGTAAATTTCCTTTGTTCTCCTCTACCCCCTACTCCGCTGTTTGCCATTATCATGCCACCTGGCTTACACAGGTGGTTTTTTTTAGGAGAGGGAGGGAAAGGGAAAATCAAGATAAATACTGCGACTGGATTTTTGAAAGAGCTGGATAATTTTAGAACTATTAACAACATTTTTAGTCAATTAGCTTGGCTTTATAAGATATAATAATAGTACTTAACATTCTTCATCCAAGAATCTCAAAATGCTTCACAAACATAACTTAAGTCTCTCAAAATCTCTGTGAAATATATAAGTGGTATTCACAATTTACTGATAGTGAAACTGAAGAGAAGAGAGGTTAAGTGACTTGCCCAGGTTTATCCAGTGACAGAGCCAAGTAAAAGAAACATGAAATCCCGATGTCTAGTTCCCTGCTAATCAATATGTCCTGTAATATTGCATTTAGCACCTGATCATTGTCATCAGTTTTCATGTCTCAGAGAATAAACTGATCACCAGCAGAGCCAATAGATTTTACACACAAACCTCCTATACACGATTGGCCAGGTAGCATTCTAGTTATTTTAACTATGACTTTCTGTACCACCAGCATCCTACTAAATTCAGGATTGGAAAATAAATGAATTGATGGTCTGATCCAGTATGGCAAACCTGTAATCCTTTGTAAACTAGGAGAAGCGTACATATTTGGCCTTCACTCTGGCCTTTTCTGGGTTCCTTCCCTGGCTCCCTCTCAGCTGGGAACCTCATTACAGATCTGACCCAGAGCCTAGTTACTGCAGAGCCCCACCAGGAGCTGCTGCTTTTTCCTGATTGTTGCCTAGATTGAGACGAGTGCTTTAGACTGTTTCTTTCCCTATTTGCTGTGCTGTCAGGAGTACATCTCCAGTGGTTCCTAGGCTGCAAATCCCAGAGTTCTCTTGATCTGGGAGGAAACCAGGTCTGATCTGGGACATGAATCTCTTAATGTCCCAGCTCACCCTGTGATACTGTGGTAGGAAGTTATGCAGTTGTTTCCCAGATAGATCCTCATGAGATAAATCTATCCTTTGTCTTCTAGTCCTGATATTTTATATTTATTGTTAGTTCTTTAAATAAGAATTCAATACCCAGATGTTACCTAGAATATTGTTTGTAACTAGAATAGTGACTTTATAAAGTTGCAGTTCTGTTTCCCTTAAAAAATTCCCTTCCCTGAATTTTTGTTACTTTGTACTATGAGAAAAGTATAATATAAACCCATTAACAAAATCAGAAAGTGCCATTTCAGGTCACATGAGAAAATCCAACTTGGATATTCTATTAGCCCTACTCCTGCCATCTTTGTCCCATGACAAACACAAATTCCTATAAAAAAATCTCTGCAAAGAACTTGCAGCTCTGCTTATAATAAGTAACGTGATTCAAAATTTTAGAAAGAAATGGCTGGATGAGTTAAAAATGAAATAACTTCTTGTTTGAAGTGTCATGTGATAGCATTACACTGCTGTTGTTGTACCACATGCATAGAATTGATACTGATGAATCAGTGTCTTGGGGTCTGTAGTCAGATGACATAGTTCTGTATGTGTATGATACTGTTTGTGTTGTGTGTTTAACAACTATAACCATTTATGCCATATGTATTGCATTTGTGTGTGTGGTTTGTTTGTTTTTGGGAGGTGGCATTATTTTGTTTTTTTGGTAGGAAATTGATAGAGGAGCTGATCACATGGATTCCTGCAGAAGTGTGCTTGTTAGTTAGCTCACATGTCAGATGAGGGGTGAGAGAGTCCAGACATTTTTCACACTGCAGGTCAGTACAGGTGGCTTGATTTTAAAGAACTTCTAACTCAGAAATAAAGTGGTTTACACCTCTGTGGCATATGCCCTTAAGGGCTGCTTACAGTATATTGCTGAAACCAATAATTGCTGAGTTCAATAATGTACGGTATGATCCTGCAGCCTTTCTATGTGAGCCCTTGCCCTTTGAAATCCACAGAAGTTTTGCATGTGGAGTCTCTGCAGGATCATGCCCTAGGAATCCTGTTACTGATAGCTGGATGGACATGTTTTCTGAATTAGAGCCATATAATTATAGCCTGTAGTTGCATAGGAGGATGGTTTCCTTTGCACTCCTCTACCAGACAATTTGCTCCATGGAACAAATGAGTCTTGTTAAACTGATGAACATAGGCAAAGTTCAGAGATTTCCCATTATCTCACAGTGCATTGCAGTATATCAAGATTTGCATCTGTACTTGTGTTGTACTTGTTGCGCATGAGCAGTCATCAGTTTAGGGGTAACAGAAAAATTTTACTGTTGGGAGGGGCTCCCTTGTATACTGCAGGTGTCACTTACATAGTTTGTTTCAGTAGTCTCTAGTGTATAGAAGTCAATACTTGGATGAAGAATAGACAAGGAGGAGAACCAAAGAGGAAACCCTTTAGGGTTGCCTAGTTACTTTCATATTAGAGGTAATGCATTTTCCATTTGCAAGTCCAGTCAGGAAATCCCAGCACTAAGTATTTTGAATAGTTACATCATTTTTTCAACGTAAAGGCTGCACGTTTCTAGTGTTTAAAATGCTGAAAGTGTTTCAGTGCTTCAGATTGGAATGGTTTCAAAATTCTCTCTTACAGATGGTTGCACTGTTAAGGAATCAGCCTCTTTTAAATCAGGAAATGATGCAATCTATATTGTTACTCTGAGACAGATTTCTGAGGCAGATTCTGTCTTAGTTTGAGATAGATTTCTAGTCCAGACAGAGTTTTGTGATCTTTCTGTGATTCTTGAAAACAGACTTTCTTTTTCCAAGTAGCAGAGAGAGCACTTAATGGCATTCCTTCTCCAACAGCATTAATAATTTTTCTTTTGCCTTTTTATAATAAACCTTTGTGTGTCGTGATCAACTAGTTTCTATACTGGAGGCAATAGTATCAGTAATAACATAAATGTAATGAGTAAGAACTGTGGAAACTTTATAATAAATATAACTGCCTTCCCATCACATAGCTAGTTTTTTATTCACAAGATTACAAACCCTTGAAAGTGAGTTAGAGAAACTATGTAAGGCACTTTTTCCGTACTCTGTAGATTAGCAGATGCTGGTGCTGTTTGAACAGTAATTGGCTATTGTTTTTCAGACAGGAAAATGTCATTACATCTTTTGGAGTTCAATGTATAGCTAATACAATGTCAAACAGCAGAATAAATGCTTTGCTTTGTAAACCATCCTGTAGTTTTGCATGTTTTTAGGCTACGGATGAGATTCTTTTAGTTGTGGGTGAATGTGATGCTGGTGTGAGAATTTGTTTTCTTTGGGTCAGGTATTAAAGGGCTAAAACAAATCACCCATCTTTGGGCCAAATTCTGATCTCATTCACAATCTGTTTATCTACTAGTATCTAAGGACAGACTCCATCCCACTATCTCTGAAATAACCCTTTGAGTCTTGCTGAGCTTTTAAATTATTGACTAGGGTAAGCAATTGATATTAACTGGATACTTGATAGGAAAATCATTTTAATTAGAAAAATTAGACCTTTTAGAAGGGTGTCTCTTTAGAACGTGTGGAATTAGGTGTTGATACCTATCACTGAAAGTCTGTTTCCTGCAGATAAGATGTTCCAATGGAACTATATACTGTTTGTTTTTCATGGTGCCAACAGGTGTGTATCTGTAAATTTGCTAGCGCATTTAAAATAGTCTTAAGAAACAATATTCTTACCATAAATTATTTTTCTGGTAACATATTATACCTTTTCCTCATGTCATCTCCCTCTCCCCCCCAATACACACTCCTATGGCACATATTAAAAAGAAAACATGTTTCATGGATTGTTGTACTAGTGAAATACAACAAAAAACATGAGGAGCACTTCACTCTACCCCATGATAAACAATTTAGGAAAATATTATTTTCTATAGCGCGTTATACGGTTGCCACCCATTCTATAGCGCGTTATACGGTTGCCACCCATTCTATAGCGCGTTATACGGTTGCCACCCATGATACTACAACTGCCAAAAGTAAGACAGAGCAAACATGTGAGGTCAATTTCATCCCAGGAGTAAGTCCCTTGAAGCCAGGGCCGGCTCCAGGCACCAGCCCTCCAAGCATGTGCTTGGGGCGGCACCTGGAGGGGGGCGGCGCTCACCCGGGGAGAGCGGGGCTGCCCTCCCCCGGCACTCTGGCCGGCCGGGGAGAGCGGGGCCGCGGCCGGGCTCGCCGCCTTCCCTGTGGCGCTCCCTGCTGGTGGTGGGGGGGAGGGCGGCGGGAGGCTTTTTTGCCTGAGGCGGCAAAAAAACCAGAGCCGGCCCTGCTTGAAGCCAACTAAGGGCTAGTCTACACAGCAGCGCTTTAACGTGCCTCATGTGGTCGCGGTGCAACACTGGGAGAGCTCTAAAAAAAAAACCCACCTCCACGAGGGGATGTAGCTCGTCTGCACTGGCACTTTACAGCACTGAAACTTGCTGCGCTTAGGGGGTTGTTTTTTCACACCCCTGAGCCAGAAAGTTGCAGCGCTGTAAATTGCCAGTGTAGACAAGCCCTTAGTGTGTTTGCTACAAATTTACATTTTATAAGATGCTAGTAATGAAGTTACATCATAACAGCATACTGCCCTCTAGTGGGGGCCACATTAGTCACTGCCCTTCATTTGCTCCAGTAGTTTCTGCAATGCAGCATCTCTTTCATTCCTGGCTAGTGGACTCAGGGCAGCTACATTAATGCTTTCTAATATCATAATCAGGATGCACTTTGGCGTAGAGTAGGGCACAGAATTTTATACAGCGTTTAGTTTACAGATAAATGTCACTGGTTCACAGTATGGTATTTAGCTAATAAAGTGTGCACCAAAGACTCCAGACAGAGGACTTCCTCATTCTCTGATTCATTTGGACTGAACCTTATACTTTACATCTGCAGAATCAATGGCTGAAGGATTGTCTACACACAAAAAATTGTATCACTTTAACCAGAGCCGGCTCAAGGTTTTTTGCCGCCCCAAGCAAAAAAAATGTTGGCTGCCCCCCATCCCAGCCCTGGGCTCTCCCCACCCACACACACATACCCCTGCCGCACC